CCCCAAAACCCCAAAACCCCAAAACCCCAAATTTTGGCAATTAATTGAATAAAATATTAATGAATTTATCCCCACGTGTAATGAAGATGCAATTTACAAATATGAGAATGTTTCAAAATTACTCTAAAATTTTCAGTATATTTACTAAATCAGATCCTCTAAAACAACATTGTTTAAGGTAAATCTCTCTCACTTCTCTTTAGACGCTATTCTACGATTCTAGAAAATACAATAAATGTTGATAAAGAATGTAAGACGAAAGATATCTCAATTTTCAAGAAGTGGGCTCCTGAGGACTCATTGCAGTACTTTCGTCAGACAAGAAAATGGTTTCCTAAAGCTAGTTTTTCTAATGACTCAGCTCGGCCATTTAGGGTAATGACTTATAATGTCCTCGCAGAATGATATAAAGGTAACTGCCCATTTCTAATAACTAGAGGAGCAAGATTATGGAGACACTAGTGATGAGATCCTCTCCTGGGAATTTAGACACAAATTAATTATTAAAGAACTAGATCAGCAGAGATACCTTGAAGATGTGAAAATTGATCATAATGATCCGTCAGACACTTCTCCAGATATAATCTGTTTTCAAGAACTTTATGATGAGAAATTAACAAATTATCTTACTAATGACGCTTCTAAATAAATATGAATATATAAGCAGAAAGAAAGGAGCTGATAAGTTGGATTCCATTGCTATTTTCTGGGATACAGATCTTTTCGAGCACATAGATAACTGGGCTATTTATTTCAACTCAGGAAAGGAATGCAAAATTTACAATAAAGCTCAGGTAGCTCAATTTGTTGCTCTAAAGCCTAAAAATCCTTCATATTTCACTGTCACCACCACACCATCCCCCAAGTCCCAAATCCTTCTCATCGCAAACACACACCTAATTTTCAACAATTCCCGAGGCGATATCAAACTTTCCCAAATAGACTTGGTCCTAAAATCCCTTTCATACCTAAAATCCCACCTACAAGCCCTCCACGAAGACTGCTGCATAAACTTTCTGCTCTGCGGTGACTTGAACTGTATCCCAAACAGTGGCATTTACACTTACATTAGCACAGGATCTTACGACTGCTTAACGATGAAGAAGAACGAAATGAGTGGGCAAAAGTTCGCGTTCAAGAGGAAAACGTATAAACATAAGTACACACAAAAAGGTAAAATTTAGAATTTTAGTAGGATTTACTAAGAAATTTGAAATTTAGATTGAGAATTAGAAGAACAGATTGAAGAAAAACATCAGAAATTTATTAGGGGTGTGAGGAAGTTGAGGAAGATTAAGGAGAATGTAGGTAATAAGACACCTTATTGGGTCAGGAAGATCCAGTCAGCGAAGATTGAGGGTATTGGGAAAGAGGGGATATTGGAGTTCTCAGTTGAGGAAGATACCCCAGAGCTTATGGAGAAATGAGATGAGTTAGATATTGCTCTCAAGAAGTTTCATGAAGCTGCGATTACGGACAAAAATGATAAGAAAAAGCGCAGCAAGATGAGTAAAGATGATATGAACTTGCTCATGCAGGAGATGCCTGATTTGATACTTAGGAGCCCTGTAGGGCCCTTAATAAGCTCTTATGCAAAAGTAATGCAAGATTTCTTAGATTTAATTACTGGATTTGTTGATGGGGCTGATTCTAATACCAAACTAGAACAGATTCTAGGAGGAACTGAAAATGTGCATGCTTTATTAAAGTCAGAACTATTCAGATCGAGGATTTTTAACGGAGGAATGGTTCCTCCAATGATAAGCGATGAATCTAATCTCTTAGGGATAGACACTAAAGAGTTTGTTAATTATTGGAAGAATCTAACCAAAGAGCAATCATATTCCTATTTCACAGAAATGCATGGAATGCTAGACTATATTTGGTACTCAGGAGAAGGTATCGAAGCTGTAAGAACTCTAAATGTTCCAAATTTCTATAAGGAGCTTCCATTTGAAATGTCACCGAACGAAGTGACTCCTTCCGACCATTTCCCAATGATGGCAGAATTTATTCTCAAATAATTAGTGGTCAATATATTTTGAAATAAATGGGGTTTTGGGGTTTTGGGGTTTTGGGGTTTTGGGG